GAAAATATATAAATTGAGCAGACAAATAGCAAGAGCAATATAATCTAGTGTACTGAATACGAATCTTAACATCTGGTCTACTTCGAGCATGTATGTCTTTGAAGTTTATCATTTCCTAAAAAAAATCTCAACTGATCTAAGTCATGTGTATAGATCGGAAACATTTTTCTAAGAAAGAATCCAAGAAGGTTCCAAATTATGACGTTTTCTTCAATCATTATGAATGTTTCATTGACGAAAGGAAATTTTCAACTAATATCCTCATTGCAAGTGAATATTTTCCTTACACTGAAATATTCTGTTTCAGCCAAACCGACACTTCTTTCTTGAAATATTGAATGTTCAAGACTCAATCTATGTCGTAAAGTCAACTTCCTCAACATTTAATATTTCAAGAAAGTAGCATCCTTTTTCGATTGAAACTTTTACAAACATTTCTATCGATCATGGAGCCTATTAAAGAGTAAAATCTCTCGTCGAAAAATTTCAGTAAAATAGTTATAAATCTCAAAGGAAGATGTAATCAGACGAAATTCTTGTAAGCTTCTTCTAGACTCGAAAAGTTAATAAAAATAACCATCATCGTTGAAGAAAGTTTCATCAGTCTCAATACTCATATGAAATCTGAAACTATAATATTACCTCATTTTCCAAACTAGTTTCCCATAGAATAGATCTTGTTCCTGATGGAATATTTGGTATTTGAATAATATTTGGATGATCAAAAAACTAAATAAAAGTTTTGTTTAGATGCTAAAAATTTTTTATATAAAAAAAAAAATAGACTTACGACATTATACAAATATCCATCACCTTTTTGATCAATAAATGCTACGGATGTACCAAAATTTTCTGTAAATAATTTTTGTATACTTGTTTTATGTTTATCAAATTTATTAACTATTTGCCATTCGTCAATATGAAAAAATATTAATGTACCTTTCTACAAAAAAAAAACAAATTAACATCATAAATATTTTTATTTTCTAATTTAATTTTTATCTTACATCGGTTCCATAAATAAGAAAATCTTTTGTAAGCGAATAACAAACAATCTTTCCATCATTTGTATCAGGTAATGGAAACATAATTGAATGACGTTCTTCACTATGATGTTCAGATTCTTCAATCTAAAATTTTATTTTTCTTTAATTAAAAAAAACAACAACGAAAAAATTAAGTTAGTTTTTACAAACCATATGTAATTGAATACGTCCACTCATAAAAGCAGCTGCATAATGAGAATTTATTTGTAATTCTGATATTGTACTTAAATAATCATGTTCAGAAACTTTGATCACTTCTATTGAAAACAAAAATTTAAAGATCTTGTTTTTTTTTTTTTGTTTTTCAAAAATTTCAATGAAACCTTCAAAACTTTGAATACGATAATATAGAGCATGATTATTAAATCCAACAGCAATATAAAGATCACTCATTGCTAATACACTTGGTTCAATTTCTGTTGTTAAATGTACATTATCAATCTTAATTGTAAAAATAAAAAATAAAATAAACATATTTTTCTTTTTTAAATCTATTAAATATTTTCTTTTTTATGTTTACTTTTGTTTTTGTTTGATGATCATAAATCGATACTTCACATAATGATGTCATAAAAGCTATTTTTTGTTGCCAAACACTTGCTAACATTGATAATTTTGTTAAATAAACATAAATAGCACCTGAACTTTTTGATACAGCTAATAATTGACCATCAACACTCCAAGCTAAATGTATCATAAGAAAAAAAGAATGTATTCTATTTAAGAAAAAAAACTGTTCGCATGATCTCTCTGAGATTACAATGTGAAAACACGATGTAACTGCTTTTGCTAGTGATAGAGAAATTCTATTATTCTATCTATTCTGAAGCAGTGGTCAAATTTCAGGAGTTTTAAACTCTCAAAAGTACAACTCCATCGACATTACTCAGGAAACGTACCCTATATTTGTCTTCTCTGATATCCCAAATCTTTGAATGTAAGACACTACTACAGTTGTTTAAAATTTGTGGATAAGCAATGGATGAGGATGTCAATTTCATTTAAAATACTAGGGTTAATTTGTTATCCGAAATTCAACAAATTCTGGAATTCTTAGGATTGCTTCAGTTGTTGAAGTGGTTTGAGTTTCGAGACTTTCCTAAGTTCAGAGTTCATGGAATTCGAACACGACTCGATGAAACTCTTATTGATATATAACCTTTGATCATATATCAACAATGTCTATCACAGTTTATAGGGGATGTAAACTTCTACCATATACACTTCAATACTTGTTTTAGATTGTGTTTCGTAAGAAAAGAAGAAACTAACCAATATCAGATAAATTATCATTTCCTTCATCAATTGTAATTATTGTGTCAATAACGTATTGATCTGATAATTCATGAATTTTAATTCCACCATTTCCACAAGTTGCTGATTTATTTAATGCTGTTGATATTGCTATACTTGATAAATAACCTTTATGATCTCGAGTTTTGTGCAATTCCTATCAAAATGCATATTTTTAGTTTTAATCAAAACCAAAAAACAAAAAAAAAACTTTTAATTTTTATTTACTTCACCAATTTCTTTATGATATGTTGAAATAACAATAAAATAACCTCCACTAAACCCAATCATAATATATCCATCACCAAACCTTTTTTTTTCACACGAAAAAATTCTTCAAATTAGAAATAAATTTTTGTCTTACCATTGATAATCATTAATATCTCCATATTTATCTTGAAAATTAAGTGTAAATAATTGACTACCTGTAGCTGATGCTGCAGCATTATTTGGATCTCCAACAGTCCATAAACCTAAATGTTTTTTTCCAATAATTGCACTTACCTAAAAATAGTTTTATTTTTTTTGAAATATGTCTATTATAATCGAAAAACTTACTGTGCTTTCTTCATAAGTTCCTCGTTTTTCTCGTTTCATTTCTGAAAATTTTAAATTTTTTGGTGTATCAGTTGTATCACATCGCTGAAGAACAGTTCCAGTTGATGACATTACGGATATTCGATTATCATTAGCACCTATTGCCAATAAATTATCTTTACTCCATGCCATTGTTGTAATACGGCCAGAATGTTGACCGATTAAAGGCAATTTTCTAAAATTTTTAATCTATTAGTTCATTTTTAAGCAAAAAAAATTTATTTTCATACTTCGCTGTTGATTGATCATAAAGAATAATATTACCACGAGATGTGCCAATAGCAAGAATAGGTGATGATTTTGACCATGATATAACAGTAGTAGAGTCTCTATGTATATAATCAAGTATTCAAAATTATACATAAAATGTATATCACTAACTTTAAATCAATTTTTAGACAATGAGTAAATAGTTCATTAGTACTATTTTTTAGTATATATATATATCGATAATTTTTTATTAGAAAATAACAGTGAACAATTCAAAAGAAATCAGTTTCGATCTAATTTTTCTTGAAATAAAAATAATATGGAGTCCTTCACATTAAAATTTATTAAATAGATATTAAAAGTACCATGATTTAAATATAGAAACAAAATTGTCAAAATGTCGATATTCTATCGTTTTCTTTTTTTGTAGATCTTTTATCAAATTATTTTCTACATAAAATGGCTCAAAGGAATTTCATTTCTTGATCCTGATTTAAAACTTTCAGATATTTCATATACAATTTTTTCTGCTCTGTGTATCTTTCGAAGTATTTTCCATCGACTGAACATGTCTCCAGAAATGCAACAGCTAAGAATTCTTTCCCTATGCGCCACAGTTCCATCAAAATATTTTCTTTCAAAATTTGATCTGCTTCCGATAACATTTTTATCAAGATAAACAATAAATTATTTATATATTAATAGAACTGTTGACTTTTAAAAATTTCAGCATTTTAGTGTTACGTTCTTGACATTTTACTGATTCTTCATATTATATAAAATGATTAGCAGAAGATAAATAAAATAGAATCATTCTAGACTAAATGACTTTTTTCAAAGTTTTTGTGTGTTATTGTTGTTTATGCTATGTATTTTTCTTAAGAACTAAATGAAAAACAATAATATACTTTGCTTGCGTATCAATAACATTCGTTTTCTGACTATTTGCACTCCATAAATAAACTAGATTTGATTTTTCTGTAATTGCTGCTAATGTATCTCCATCTTTATCCCAACTCAATTGTAGACATGATCTAGAATCAAAAAGAAAGAAATACAAAGTTGTTGTTGTTTTTTTTTTTTTGTTTCTATTATTTGTTATTGTTGTATCATGTACCCTTTTAAAGGAATTGAAGCAATTTCATCGCCTTGTCGATTACGAATCGTAATAACATTTAATGACCTACAAATAAATTTTATTTATTTGTTTTTTTTTTTTTTTTACTAAAAAATTGAATTCGTTTTTTTACCCAACAGCAGCTATATGTGTTCCATGACCAGTTTGCCATGCAAATTTAGGTCTATCACCAATTTCTTCTAAGCTAATCGCAAATAAACGCTATAGAAAATGATATAAATTTTTTGTTTTTTTTTTTGTTAAATTAAAATCTTATTTTATTATAAAAGAAAAATTCATACTTTAGGTGAAGCTGTCATATTGAATAAAAACTATGCTTTTATTTTAATACAATAAAATAAAAAATCTCAACCATTCATCATTTCCATCTTGTATGGTTACTTAGCAACAGTATAACTTCCAATGAAAATGATTTATTTAAAAACTAAAATAAAAAATGACAAATTCTATTTTATTTTATTATTTATCATTGATTTTTAAATTAAATTCTTTCTTAATAATAAATAAAAACTGCACAAATGTATTTATTATCAATGAGTCATTGATGTTCCTCCCTTTTCTTGTCGCGTTGTGTTGTAAGTTTATCCAAACGCATACGCAGAAAGGCAAGAAGTATTAATGCAAGCATCATTATTTTGCATCTTACATCATCATTTTTTTTTTCATTTTTTAGATTACATCAAGATTTTTGAAAAAAGTTTAAATTAAAAAAAAAAATGTCTCTCGTTCAACGTAGTGTTTTTGATAAAATTGCAGCTGAAGGTGTTCATGTAGGTTCAATGAATAGAATTTATTTTTCATGAATAAAAAAAAAAAAAATTCTCTTCTAGCTTGCAATATGGTCATCAGTTATGAGTGTTGGTGGAGGTTTAGGAGAAATATTTGTTAATCATGATGCTCGTATGAATATTGCTGGTGATCATGCTATAGTACAATTAATTGAAGCACATAAACGATCAAAAGTTTTGACAAATTTAATGTTACTTGTAAGTGGAGTTTCAGGTGCATTAGCTTATCAACAAACAAAAGATAAATATTGGCTTATTGGTTCAGGTTTAATGCTTGGCAAGTTAAATTAAAAACAAAAAAGAGAGAATTTGTTTCTTATTGAGAAAAATATTGTTGTTTTTTATTGTTTAGCTGGTCTTCCATATTGTGCATTGGTTGAAAATCCAGTTGCTGAACAATTGAAATTTTTAACACTTGATGCTAAATCAGAAAAAGCTAAATCATTATTAAATTCATGGGGAACTATTCAACTTGGTAAATTAGCATTAGCTGTTGGAGGAGCAACAGTTTTCTATTGGTTTGCTCGACGTTAAATCAAATCGAACAGATAACATTTGACTAACAACGTAGTTTCGTTTTCTCTCTTGATTTAAACTGGCCTTCGATACTTATTCGTATTTAGTTCTGAGTGGATTTTTTTTCCTTTATTCATGAACACTTAGAGAATCATTTTTGATAATTTTATTCTAAATAAAAATCAAGCGACTTTTCAATAACTATGATCATCATAATAATCTTTCTTTGTTTTTAGATTGTGATTGAAAAAAGAAAGAATATTCTATAAGATGACAGCTGGCATTCTTGATTCACTCAATGATATAAAGTAGGGACCTTTAAGTGGACCTTTTGTTTTTAGACTTATTGAAAATTGGATTATTTTTCATTTTTTAGTTGATTGATGAGTGTGAAGATTAGAAAAAAGAAAATTCTTTTTTTTCAATATTTTAGAATTGAACTTTTGTATTATTTTTTAGCCGATATTTAAAAAAAAATATTATTTAGTTTGAAAAATTCTAATAAATAGATAGAAAAATTTCTTGATTTCAAATAATTTACATTAAAAATATCACTTGCGGTTAGTATACTAGTTGAGAAGTGATGTTCTCCTCGTTTCGAAATAAAATCGATGTAAGATAATGAAAAACTTATTTTTATATATTTATTATCTTAGTTTGAAATAGAGAAACTTGACTTTTTAATTTATTCTCCGTTAGAATCAGTTTTTTTTTACGTAAGAATATTCAAAGTGCCTAAGGTTTTTAAGATATGTCGGGCACTATACGAAAGAGACTATTGGAAAATTTTCAGCTTGATGTCTTGATATTTTCATTCGAAGAAAAACTAAATGAGCAATCTAAAATTCTCTGCGGGCTTTCATTCTATAAATGTTATTTTTCTTTTGTTTGAGAGAGCATGTCTGACTGCAGGGCTTGATAGAGCTATGTTTTTCTTTTTTGAATTCTTATTTTTTATTAGAGGAAAAGAGATGACAAATCCAGTACTGGAAAAATGTCAATTCATTTAGAATGATTTGCGGTATTAGACTTATCATCGTTTTCCTCGAAAAGAACAAAGAACTCTTTCAGACTCTCTAACCTGATAGATTCTTTCAAAACGAAGAATAATAATATTTATAGAATGAAAACCCGCAGCGAATTTCGATTTGCTAAATTAAGTTTTCTTTTCATGCATGTTTGATGAATATCTTATGAAAGCATCGTAGTATTGAGCTGAAAAACTTAATTATAGCTTTTTCGTTATGACTACAACATATCCCGAGAATTCTATATGATTTGTATGTTACTTCCCTAAGATCGATTTTAAAATGACAGAAGAATTAAAAAAGGAAATTTTGTCATATAGACTATGTTAGAGTTACTATTATTATTATTATTTTCTATTTGGAGGATTGTCTTTATTACATGAAATCTGTTAAATGTCGATATCTTCACAAATATAAATAGATCTATTGAGAAGAACTTTTGATCTGCTTATTATTTATTACTAATCTAATCTTCAGATTTGTCATGAGCGTTTTCTTTTTTCACTAATAAATTCGATTAGAATTTAACTGTTTAATATATTCAAAAAATAAAATTTCTCTTATTCTTTTGTATTAATAGTTATACTGGTCAAATAAACAATGAAACAAAATTAGAAGAAGTTCTAAAATCAGATTTAAAATCTGAAGGATTTTTACCATATGCAAAATTAATTGCATGGTTAACACAAGAATTAAATGGATTTTATTCAATAGGCGAATTTGTTCAAGATATCAACTGTGTGCAGTAGCTGATAATTTTCTTTTCTTCATTTAATTAATTTTAAAAAAATCCTCTTTTTCATTTTTTTTATCTTCAGCTATTAATGATATATCTAATTTTTTACTTGAACTGGGTGGTTTTCTTCGAGATTATGGCTGTCCTTATCAAAATCTTGTTAATAGTGAAAATAGATTAAATGATCGTATATCACGTTTACAATTATTAGGTTAATATTTGTTTTATTTTAATAATTTCATTATGAGGCTTCCCTTTTTTTTTTGCTGCAGACTTTCTTTGTACGGAAATTCAAGCAGCTAAAATGAATAAATGTCTTAAACGAGATATAATAACTAATGGAACAGATGATACAACGAACAAAAAAGTAATGCATAGATTTTCTTTAATGTTAAATAGAATTTAGTGTTTACTTTAGCAATATGAAAGTAATGAAGCTCGCGATCTAAAAGCATTACTTGTTGCTCTTGGTTTTCCTCGACCACCTGATGGAATAACAGCTGAACAAATATGTACAAAAGTTTATGGTAAAGTTAGTGAATTATTAAAAACTTTATCTCCAAATTATTTGGGTCGACCATTATTAAAAATCAATATGTCAGAAAAACAATGGAGTCAAATACATAAAATAAATAAAATTTTATATGATGATTACAAAACTCGACGAGAACTATTACTTAAACGACTTGATGTGACAATTCAATCGTTTAAATGGGCTGATCGATTAAAAGTACAAAAGTTCATAAATCCTTTTTTTTTGTATTTTTTTTTTTTTGAAATATAAATTTAGGATAAAACTGATGAAATTTCAAATGCTTTTATGAGTAAACGTAAAGCATTAACAGCTGAACCAAATGTACGAATTGAAGATATTTTGGCTGCTCGTGAAGGTAAACATTGAAAATCAAAACAACAAAAAAATTTTTTTTTGAAATTTCGGTTTTTCTTTTCTTTCTTGAAGATTTATGTCATATGGAAAAAACTTGTGGTACAAAAGAAATAGCATCAACTCGATCAAAACTTCATAAAATTTTAATTCCAAAAGTAATATACAAAGCTATCTAACATAAATTGCAATTACAAGAATGTTTTAATACAAGAAAATATTTTTCAATAGATGCCATTTAATACTTTTTTTAAGATTATTCGAATAATATCAGTTTGCTTTGTTTGATAGTATATTGATACATTCTTTATTCTTTTGTTTTCTCAGCGGAGGAAGATACAAATGTTTAATGGTGTATATATATATGTAGGTACCTGATCGTGGCGGACGAACAACTGAATTACAGGCGCCACCTCCCGAAATGCCATCGTATCAACGAGGAGGTTCTGCAGGTGGTGCACGTCGTGGTGGCGGTGGTCAACAACATCAATATCAAGAACAAAGAAGTAATTCTAATAATAACACTTGTTCTAGAATGAATTTCATTCAATCTTGGTTTCTTTTTCTTTACTTTCTCAGCATAAAAAGTTTTTTTATATGCTAAAAGATACAGAATTTCACACTGTCAACTTCATTTGTCAAACCAGTTTAAAGTTGTAGGTTTCGAATTTAAAATTTTCACGTTTACTCACGAATAAACTACTTCAGGTAACAACCGCTGTGTGAGCTCATATTGGATCTACAGACAGGCTTCAGTGAGAATAGCAAAAGGTCAAAAAAATTCGTCCTCATTGACCTTCAGCGTCGAGTTATGACTTGTTTACTGAAGTTTTCATCGAAAATTTTGTCGATAGGTACGTTTAATCACTTCGAACATTCTGACAGTTTCAACTGAAAACAGTGTTTCTTTGTCGAGTTACTGAGTTTTCAAGTAAACTCAAGTTTTAGGACATAGGGCTATTTGTCCAAATTCAGTATCTTGACGAGCGAACATTCTTTTCAACGGAAACTTTCAAAATATTCTAAGAATCATTAAATCTATCTATAAGCAAAATTTTCGATCAAAACCGATCATAACTCGGTAACAAATAACTATAGGAGCGAACTGTTCTACGCTTATCCTAGTCCCACTGAGATTTAACTGTAGGGTCAGTATGATCTTGAATAGTGGGTGTTTGTTGACATAGTTTTCTTGTCAGTCATTCAACTGCGATTTTCTATTCTTTGTTGATGCTTATCAACTTTTGTATAGCCGATCTCCAAAAGTAAATTATTGAATACCAATAAATAGAAAATTTTATGTTTTATTCCACTAGGTTCTTTTCGAGATTTCTGAGACTGCCATTTACGAGAAAAAGATTTGAAACAGACAACTGTCGGCATATTTTAGTGCACTTTGGAATATCATGTCTTCACAAGCTAGACTTGTTCTATGAAAGATTTATTATTATGCTGTCGGATGTAGAAGTTGCTTCTGAACTAAACTGAAAAAGAACTTTTTTTGGTGTTTTTGCTATTTCTACTTCAAAATGGTTGTTCTCAAATATTTCTTCTAAATTTTGCGTTCATAACAGGAAGTTATTTTAGAAACAAGGTCGACAGTTCTATGGAGCTTGAAATGATCTATCCTCAGGCGAAAGAGGAAATTGTTTTTATAATTAAGAAAGCGAGAGAAAAATGAACTGAGATTGAATGCAATTTTTTGTAGGACATTCGTTAGAATTCTACAGAGTACTATTATAACATTTGTTTTTTATTTCTTTAAGGTCATCGAGGAGGTGGTGGCGGAGGTTGGTCAGGACGTGGTGGTGGCGGTGATAGACCTTATTCTGGTGGTTATCAACAACAAAATTATGGAATGATGGATCCTTATATGCAACAATATCCACAGATGGCTTATCAAGGGCAACAACAAATTGTCAATGAATATGCTGGTATGGATTATGGTGGAACTTATGGTGGACGTGGTCGTGGAGGACGAGGTGGACGTGGTGGTCGACGACCATATTAAAAACTTCTACTATTCCGGTTTTTATGCTGTGTTCTTTTTCAGTCAAGTTCTTCGACTTTTGTTACTTATCTATTGAACATTTTAAAGAAGAATCTTCGCACTTCCCTATTATTCATTTATTTGTTTAAATGGACTTCTTTATTGTTATTATTATTATTATTATTATTATTATTATTATTTGTTTCTTGTTTTTTTTTTAGATGGTTAAACTAGAGCCGATAAAACCGGTTGTTCGTTCTCGTTCATCATCATCTGATAGTGATTTTGATGATATACATTCAATAACATCATCTGATAGTGATTTATCTCTTATTGAAACATCTGCAACAAATTCATCAAAATCTTGTCAGAAACGTAAAATCCCTACGTCTAATCATATTATTCCTCAAGGTACATTAATACGTGATGTGAATAATAATCCTTGGATGATACATCAATGTGTTAAAGTCTCACATCATAATGAAAGATTTATTTATTTATGTAGTCAAGTTAAAAAATCATTGAATGTAAATGAATTGAAAATATCCGAACAAAATGAACAACAGAATATTGTGAAAACAAAAATATCACCACTTATGTATTTAACTGATAAATTAAAACAATCAAGACAAACTGTAATTGATAAAGCACGTGCTGAGAATGATAAACTTGATTATATTTTTTATGGAGCTGTTATTGGAAATACAAATAAAGAAATTGAACTAATTATACCCAATAATGAGAAGTAAGATACAAGTTTGACCTTTTCTTTTTTGGTTTTGACAAAAGTAGAATATTATTTTATTAACTCTTTAATTATTTATGGTCACTGGAGAAATCATATTTGTAGAATAATTACAGAAAATAAATGGAACATGAAGTTAAAAAATTCGAAAAAAACTGAAAAAGTCAGATGTTTTTAAATAAAATATTTTTCTATGAACAAAAAAAAAAGATTCACGATGGACATGTGTTGTATGATATATAACGATGGTAATGTTTACTACTGGTATCAAATATCATCCGAAAGTTTTACAAAAGTTAGCTAGGAAAGAGATGCTAAGACACAGAATAGTTACTATAGATTCTCCATAAAATCAAACATTTAGTCTTCCAATGCTTATAACTCGAACTTAAAATTTGCTCACACCATGCATAATAGTAGAGTGAATCATTTTCTACAAAAATGAGACATCTCCGAACTCCCTACGATGTTTTTTAGTTGAACTACATCAGATTTACGGAAAACCTCAGATAGAGTATTTGTCAAGGCGTTCTCCTATCAATGATTACTAAAATGATCAAACGAGAGTGCGCCTGATCGATCCATCTATATTATCGATATATCGGAGACATCGATATTCTATTTCGATGGTTTTTTTTTTATTAAGGTTTCTTTAGAAATCATTAGGCAGGGGAAAGGATTATACTACTTTCAGATTGATTAGAAAGATTATCTTGAGCAATTCAAAATTTTTTGCTAATTGTTATGCGTTTTGTCGAGATTTCTATGCAAAATTTATAAACCAAATTGAAATTTAGAAAGACTAATTTTTTTCTTAGAATAATTTAGAAAATGTTAGAAAACGTTTATTGAACTATTCAGTTGTGTTTTTTCTAGCAGTCCATACAACTAAATGTACTATATCATTCAAAAACAAACATTTGAATCTCAATCAAAATTCGACATTTGCCGTGTTAAACAGTCAAATGACAATAAAACTAAATTTCAATTAAACCTATGAATTTATCGTTTTCTATACTAAAAAATGAATCTTCTCAAGTTCTGTATGATGTTTCATTGAATAGAGATCTCAAGCAGCTAGACAAGACGCTACGATTTTGTTTTGATCGTAGTCATTTTCATTTAATTAATAGAATAACATATAAGTAAGCCAATAAGAAAGGATTTAGAGTTGAGTATGGTACATTCACACACAGTAAAATAAATTTAAGAAAAATTGAAGAGTTACATGTGTTTTAAAAGAAATCAATGATATTCACAAATATCCGAACTTAACAAAAATTTGTGATATTTTCATCACTATATATCTTAGGACTGCCGACAACTTTTAGCTGTGGAGGTAGGAACTAAAAATTCGGCAGAAATTATGAGTAGTGTTTCAGGAAGTGCTTTCATTCTCGAAATACTAAAAGTGATGACTTTGGTGGGAAGAACGAAATATACCATAACCTGGTCTTTGACACCAGTTTATCCAGAAAAATAAATGATATTTCAAAATTCTGTTTCTGTCTAAAATTACCACAAAAAGTTTAAAATTTTGGTAGAAAGTGTTTAAAACTTTAACGAAAGTCAAGCATTCCGAAGGAGAAGTACCATCCTTCCTAAATGAGAGTTCTGATCTATCTATTTTGAGAAACACTTAGACGATTACCTAAATATTCGATACAGTCAAAACTGGTTGCATAGTTGCCAAATTTGAATTTCATAATCGAGGCCGCAATTGAACGTAAACATCGAGCCGAAGTTCAAGTTCAATGAATCCCAAAAACCGATATTTGTCTCATCGATCTTTTCTTATTGAGATTATCTTAAAGGAATAATATCTTTTTAGACAAGCTACATCATCAAATAAAAATTCGGTAAATAGCAAAATCTTATCTCCATCAACAAATGATCAAAATTCCAATAAAATAATACATGGTATTGTTGAATTTCTAAAAGATGATGATACATATGATGAAAATAAAATAAATAAATATTCTATTGAAATTATATTTGTACAAGATAAAAAAAAATCTAATTTAATAACAAATCCATCTGAATTACTTCAACAAATTCTTAAAAAAGAAATTGCAAAATTAAAAGATCTTCGGAGAAAAAATATAACAATAAATAATAAAACCAATGAAGATTTTCATAAATTTATTATAACAAAAAAACCTGGACATTCACAATATGATATTCAAGAAAGTAATAATGATGAAGGAGAAAATCTTCCTACATGTTCATCTATTGAATCTTCAACAATAAAATATTTACTTAAACTTGAATTAAATACTTCATCATCATCCTCAAAGCATTATACAATTGATCATGAAATATCATTTTATTCTCGTTTTGCCACACATGAAAAATTAAAATCTTATATAAAACGACATAATTTAATGTATATTGCTATTCCTGAATATATATCACATGGTATATATAAACATATGAATTTAACATATAAATTTTTAATAATGGAACAATATCGTGAAAATCTTCGTTCACTTATTTATTCCTACGATCAATCATTACCTGAACATAATGCATTAAATCTTTTTCTACAAATGTTATATGTTATACAATTTATACATGAAAAAAATTATGTTCATCAAATAATTAAACCAAAATATATGATGTTTGCTAATAAACAACCATATTTTATTTTTTTAACACAATTTCGAACTGTTAGAAGTATACATGATACAGATAATCGATCAAGTAACGACTTTTTAAATCCATATCTAACAAAAATAAGACAGAAAATCTTTTGAAATCTATTCCGATACGAATCATTTTTAAACTACAAAAGTGCTCAAAAAGAATTCATCCTCGTTCATTGTCATATTCTAAAGAGCGAATTGTTTTAACTGACGAATCATTTTTGATTTCAGACTCTATGAAAAAAAGTAAATACCAGTGAGATATGAAATGTTTCAAAAGGATAAGTGCTCTTAGATTTTTCCTTCTGAGTTAAAACCATTTTATTCAAATATAAGCCTATGAGACGATATTTCTACCTAAAATTTTACAGATAGATCTACTTGTGACAGAGATATTTTGAGAATTTCATCTTGAAAAAAATGATCCCTTCGAGAGGTATTAAATTTTCAAAAATCTAAGATTTTGACATCTTTCACAGAGTATGAGTAATGTTTTGGAAATTCAATATCTTGTCAAGGAAACATTTATGTCATAAGGCTAAAATTCTAGTACAATAGCTATAGGTCTGGAAGAACGATGTAAGGGTACTTATTGTTTTGGATTATTTCATATCTTAATGGAGTTTACTTTACACACAGAGTTCGAACTCTAAATCAATTGAGATTTCAGTTTGTTAATATTGAAATACTGGGCGTATGAATGATGTTTTATTTACATTTAAAATAATAAATAGAAAATACTGCAAATAATGTCATATCTGTGTTCTTCCTAAGAAAACGTAATCCTTCGAATTAAATTGAAGACAAGGAGAAACAAACTGATTTCTTGATTTATCAGATTTCTAATCTAGAAATGATTGTGTTTCTTTCTGATGAAAGTTGCGTTTCTTATCATAGAATGATGCAATACACTTTCTTCTTATATAATATCCATGACTTTTTTCAAAATGATCATTTTTGAACAGATATACTAAAGGAGTTTACATAGAAATTTTCACAATATTCTTAAATTTTTCATTTTCAAGATATGGATCACATGTCTATATTTTACTCGCAACATAGAATATAAAATTCACATATATTGTGCAAAAATCTCAAGGCTTTTGAAAGAGTCGCCTATTTTTATTGCTTTCATAACAGTTTGTTAAACGAAAGCATATAACCTATAATAAAGTTTATGTATGGAAGTCACATACTCTTGAATAGTAATCATAAAATCTAAATAATGAGAAGAAAAGATCTGAAAAGAATATGAACTCGAGACAAAAAGTGTTCAGTTATTTTTTTCATTTAGTGATAGAACATTGTAAACAAGCATATGGAAAAGAAGCATTAGAAATACAAAAACAATATGTATATCCCTCACAAGAAAGAGAAGCAAAACTATTCTATCATTATAGAGGGTGCTAGTTTTTTTCATTTCATTTTAAAATATTTTTCGTTAGATTTAGATCAAAAAATTCATTTGTAGACTAATTTACCGTTTTTCTTAACACCCAGGATTTCCGTCAAGAAAATTGAATACTTCTACCGCATGATTCCAAATATAATTAATACATAATTTTTTTTGTTTTGAAACTCTAAGTGAGAGTGAATTTTTATCAGACGTGGTTTTCATATTTGAAAATCAAGCTTTAGTATTGTAAGGTCAATGTTTCTATTCCCATTTTAACACTATGTGTACTAAAATGCTCATAAAAAACAAATGAAAATGAATTTGTAATTCGTATTCGAACAGTTATCGTACACATAATGTTAGCTTTAATTTGAAACAACTACGAGTTCGGCATATATTCTATGGCTGAAGTCTGAAAGATCCTCTTTGAACCTATAAATGAGCTATGATCAAGCTAGAAGTACGATCTAGTAAAATGTATCAGATTGAAATTTCTATCAAAAGCATGTCTCTCTAGGATCGTGTGTTCCTGGAAACTCAGCCTAAATGGGTCATAAGACGTGACAAATCGATTGTCAGAGAGAAAAACTTAAACATTTAAAATTGCTTTAACTCAATAGCTAATAAATAGAAGACAAAACTTTTTGCAGAATCGACTTTGAATGATTAACACCAGTCAATGAACAGAAAAAGAAATTGAATTCTCTGCAACTATATTTAATCTTTTTGTATTCTATATAATGTTTTCTTCATCGATTATCATAAGGAATAGTGTACGTCTTAAATAAAACCTTACAAAAAAAAAGGATTGAAATCAATTACACTCGATGAGAAGATATAATTGAATTTTTAAACCATTGTTAATATAAATATTTATTTATTTTTTCAATCTTAGGCGAAGTTCCAAATGAAAATCGTCCAATAATAACAAATGAAAATCAACATGTAAAACAACAAAATTATCAAGTTAAAAAAAAAGTTAAACGTTCACATCGAACACAATTAGCTGCTATACATAATAAAACATCATCAATTGTTCCATCACCATTACTTGTTATTGATGTTCCAAGTCCAACAATTGAAGAAGATAATTTATTAATAAATTCAAATTCATATCATCATCCATTTAGTGTTTATTCTTCACTTGATATGCATCTTAATAATAAACAAACATATCGTGGTGATTTAGAAATGCTTGGTTATAATTTAATTGTTTGGTCTGGTGGACGATTACCATGGGATAAAAAAAATAAAAATATTCATTTTAAATTACAACGTGATACAATAACAAATGAAAAAAAATTAGCTAAATCAAATGTTAATGAATTTGTTAAAAAATGTTTTTTTATGAAATTAATTTCACCTGTTACATTACGTGCGATTTGTGATTATATGTCAACTGTTTATCAATTAAATATTGATGATATGCCTAATTTTGATCAATTACGTGCACCTATTAAAGAAATCGTTAAAGCACTAGGGTTTAAAGTTAGTTTTTATTTTCAATGAATTTATTTTATTGACAAAATTAAATAATTGTATATTATGATGTTTCTTTTTTTTTTATTCAGGCAAATGCATGTCTCCGTTTATCAAATTCAAAATCTAAAGCAACTAATACATCGAATAATACAAATAAGAATGTTTTGAATTCTTCTACTCATACACAAGGAATTAAACCTAATGGAAATATTAGCAAACAAATCAATATTAATGATATGACATCACCGGCAAAAGAACTTGAAGTTGAACAAGATGATCTTGAAGATGATGAGGATGACGATGAGGATGATGACGATGATGATGATGATGATGATGAAGACGATGAAGAAGAGGAAGATGAAGAAGAAGTCTATATTACTTTACAAAGAAATAAATTCATAGAAAAACATTGATAATTATTTATTTTAGGGTCATCCTTGTCCACCAGGAGCAAATTCATGTGACGATGATGAAGACGATGGTTCAAGTGATGAAAATAATGATGATGATACTCAAATGGAACAACAAGCTCCATCAATTCCCAGTCAATCAACAAAAACTAAATGTAAACGATGTGGTGGTGATCATTCACTTGAAGATCAACAATCTCAAATAAGTAGTGATAAACAAAGTAATAGTAGTACTGGTCCGAGTACAAATAATAATACTAATACTCTTACTTATCAACAAAAACGACAACGATCAATTGCTAAACGACTCCAATTACGTCGTAAAAAGAAAAATTAATTTTCCAAGAAAAACCAAGAAACAAAAATTAAAACAACGAAATGTACATATTTTTAGAAAGCCGTATGGAACACATTCAATTTTATCGTTTGTTTAAAAAAAAGATAAATTTTTTTTTATGTACATGTGTGGTATAGGATGCAAACAACGATAACATTTTGTTTTAATTTATTTCTTTCTAAAGTGTGTGTGCGTGTGTGTGTGAACAGTCCATCACTATTTACTTTCTGAGTTATTCTTTTGTTATGCGCGATGATTTATTTTATTTCCTTGTTTTTTCTTTTTTGGTCGGTCCGATATTTTCTTTGTGATAGACCTGTCTTATTGCTTGTCGTTTTTTTTATCTATCTTTCTTTTATTCTAGTTGATGCATGCATAAAAAAAAATTATTTAAGTAAAACAAAGAAACCGAAACATACACATACTGTTGTTTTTAAATTATAGATAGCAAATAAACAGCTAAACGAAGTTTTTTGTTTTTTTCTTCATTTTTAGTTATTCAGTGATATTTGACTTTTTTCTTTAATGTTCATTATATTAATTATTTCATATTTGATCATCAGAATATATACATTCTACAATGTATTGAAGAAAAGTCTTTAGAAATCTAAAGAGGAAATGTGTTGATTTGATCAATTGATTGTTCATAAAAAGCGAATGAATAATACGTTATCGATCGTGCTGATTACCATAAGATATTCTCTTAGGTCTTTATATGCTGGGCTTCTAGGCTAACAAACAATTTATTGAATAAATTTTTAACATATTCATTTATTCATAAGAATAATCTTTTAATAAAATAATCGAAGGAAACGAAAGAACTGAATAGTATCTACAGACTTAAGAAATGCAATGCATATAGATTCGACAACATATTTTGTATAAATCGGTTAAATTCGAATGATAGTTTTGCTTTTACACGTAATGATGAATTGCATACTGAACAAATATATTATTGTTTAAGGTATTCATTACTTATTCAACATCTTGATTATCTTAATTTGCCAACAAATAAATATGTTAACATATTGGTTGTATGTATGATTGTCAGATGAATCAAATAAATTGAATAATCAATCAGAAAAACTTCGAGATATATATTATTCATCGTTTGTTGTAGCATCATCATTGAAACTACTTGTAAAAAAATCAATGTATTAATTAATGAAAAATTGGATTTAATTTTTGTTAACTGCACTCAATAATGCATATAGATGTATTATTTATTCAGAAAATGTATATGATCTATATCATACGTTGACAATGTGTTGTTCAAAAGAGAACTATTCAAATACATTTTTATAATCATCTTTTAATACGTTAAAAATGCCAGATCTATGTATTCATTCATTTACCTAATTTGACATTTCAAACAATAATCAAAGTAGTTATCACTTTGAACTATATGTGTAAGAGACTTTGTAAAAATGATTGTATTTGTGGTGTCTTCTGTCACATAAATAATCATCTCCGATATATGAATAAGATATTTGTAGGAAAATAGTATGAAAACGGAAAGACAATATATAACAATAATAACATATCTAAATATACAAGTATTCAATATTGTGTCATCAACAATATAATATTTAATAAAAATTAAGACAAGTTTTAGAATAATTCAATTTTGACTAATATTAATTATAATCAAAGATGTAAGTTGATGTATTGATCAACGATGACGGTGACTAAAAACATTGGATAGATCACAGGTACCAACTGAAAATTTTTGATCATTCTTTTTAATGGCTTCTTAGTTCCAAGAACTTCTGAAACGGGAAAGACAGAACATGATGGTATAGAACATACTGATGTTGAATAATACAAAAAAATTCTCCAAAAACTAATCCTGGATGTCAAAAAGCAAGTTTCTAGTTTTGATATATCGACTGAACTCTTCAGCAATTATTTAAGGTATTAATTTAGCATTTCTATACGTAAAAAAAACGTAAAAAGAATAATCGGAAGTGCAATGTTATATCGACAAAGTGATTGATACTTTAAATATCCAGTTATTTAGACAAAATTATCAATCTTTTTGGGATGAATATTGTTTGTTTGACACATTTTATAAACTGTAACATCCTTATAGAATCACTCTTTATACAGGTTCGCATTTCTATCATATTCTTTGACGAAAAATTATATTTTTTATCTCATTATTTTTTAAAATATATAAAAGCAAAGGCACGAAACCGGTTTTCATCTGGCAAGACAGATTGAAAGGAAAAACTGATGTTTAACAGCATACCGTTTTAAATTGAAAGTAATTATCAGAAGAACACAAAGAAGTTTTAATGATTTTTATTTCAATCCTATTATAATACTTGATTTTGTGGAAAAATGAACCGTCTGCACAATGTCCAGTTAGCAACTACTCTTAAATACAACTTACACAAGCTGTGAATCTAGTTAAAAATTGATAATTTCTTGATTCAAACACCATTTCTGTCAAATATCCAGCCTTTTTTTTTTTGATAGAAAATTAATTTTCGGTTAGAGAAATTTACTGAGAACATATTTGAAAAGAACACAAAATTCTGATCTTAACTAATTCCTGTGAAGTCTAAACAAGTTCTAATGAGTAGTAAGAAAGTGAACACTTTTTTTTATGATAAGACTTTTGTATCATAGATCACATCATATTGACAAAGAACAGCATAAAAATCAAATGATAATAGGTCAAAAATAAGAGAATTGAGAAAAAAATCTAAATAAATAAATGAATTTAGATACGAGTCCTATATATTGTAAATAACACAAAACATTACTCAACAAAAGTTTAACTATAAGAATATGTCACAATTATCTACATCTTGATGAATGGCTCAAACAATGATTGGCATTATTTCAAACCATAATGTTAATTAATACCGTTTCTCTTGATGTTAATTTTGAATGATATATGAGACCTCATCGTAACTCTTATCTTGCTATTAATAAACATGAATATGTCTGTCTTATTGTGAGACGTAGTTATTTATTAATATCATATAACATCTATGCCAAGAAAAGATTTGATATGGTGCTTGAACTATTTAATAAGAGTATGATACAGATGTATCATTTAAAATTTTGTCTAATTTCAGAATATGTATTGATTGCATTTATTCGATAACATGTATTGTACTTACATAAGAATCACTTATTTATGGTAATCGAAATGATTCATCTGAAGATTCAATATTTGTTCCAATATTGAAATTGAGAAATGAGAAAATCTGTAGAAACGAGTTAATGTATTGATTTTTTTTTTGAGATCATCATAAACTCATTGGTGCCACATCGTATCAATTTAATCATTCTCACTGATGTAAAGTGTGAGTGAAAGATAAGAATGAATGTATCTTATATAGGCTATATCTACTATTTTATATCTCAGTCTTTTTAAATTAATATAGGTAGACTGTATTATGCAAATTTCTGCTGGCGAACAAAAACGTCAAAGTATCAAATTTCTTTCGTCTCCTATTTCGATAGAAAGAAGTCAAATGTTTTGTTAATATTTCAAGTATCAAAATCTTACAAGATGTTGTGTGACGACGTACATCTATTTTAATTTCAATGGACAAAAACACAAAGCTACTATTTTTACTCATCCTTTGTATAATTATTCCTATATGTTTTACGGATTTAACTGGTGTACATTATTTACATACAATCAATTGTTCATCATCATCGTTATATATTCCACAAGGACCTTATTTATTTAGTCATCATTGGCCTTTTATATCGATTAGTATTCATTATCAAAAACAACAAACTAAAGGTGTATGTTATCGAGATGGTTCTCTTCGTTTTATTCTCAATAATAGATTATGTGCTGGAATCTATTATGGTGGACAAGCGGAACTTTTATGTCTATCTGAAAATAATGAATATTGTTTGATTAATATGACAACAAGTGATGGTAGTCGATTAACATGTGTTGGATCGAAAATAAAATCAATGACAATTGTATTAATTGTATGTTTTCTTTTTACCCTTTTCAATTATAAAAATCAATTATTCAATTAAAAAAATGAAGACATGAAAACGATTTCGTTGAATTGTGTGAATATTTTCTTTTTGAAAATCTTTTTAATTTAAAGACTTCATAATAAATAAGCATTCACTAATCATTTTCTATCTTTTTAAATAACTTTAAATTTATGTTACAGTTTAATAATCAACACTGTTATAGTGCAAGTCAATTTTGAATTTAATACTACTAACCTTCTTATCATTTTTTCGTTTTCTTGTGCTGCAAAACATACTTTTTCTAACCTTGGCATTTCATTGTACCCTTGCTATATTTACCTCTGTGATTATAATCGTACTTAACTTGCCTTTTCCTCATGATCATAGATTGTCCCTGAAAGGCTTCTTTTTTGTTTTACTTGCATAAAAAAAATGTCGTTGACCTCTCAATATAGAAAAGCTAAATATGTGCACTGTAATTACCAAAGGTTATCAGTATTACTCTATTTTTTACGATATCATTGCTTCTTCTGTACATTTCTTCGTTTACTTTGTTAATCCTTATTGTAGGTCGATTTTGAACGTGCATTCATATGTATCTATAAACTTCATAACATTCCTCGTTGTCGGAGCTTGGTAATCCATACATATATAGACATACATACAGAAGACATAGTCATGACTTCATATGTCGATAAGGATGATACAAAAAAGGAGAAAGAAAAAGGAAGAAGACCTTCGCATAAGAAGGCGAAGTTCAATAAAGAAAAAATGCTAATCACATATAAATATTCGACGACAATTTCAAACGATCGTTTGATTTCAAAATTTCTCAATAAAATTATCTACACTACTAACAACCATACTAAAAGGTTTTGTAATGTTATTCATAGTGATTGTGATATTTGCTATCATTAGTGTTAACGCACTACCACCTATCAACTTTACGGATACTATATTGACAAATCGAATGATTGAAGCATTGAGCGAAGCGCTTGTAGCTCATGATGATCCAAGATTAACACCATTCTACCAACTTCGACAACATTTAAAACAGCAGCAATCAAAACAACAACAACTTTACCAACATCCACTTCCAGAACAACAACAACAACAACAACAATTCTATCAACAACAGTTTCCAGAACAACAACAACAACAGCAACAACAATTTTATCAATCTCAACTTCCTGAGCAACAGCAACAATTTTATCAGTCTCAGTTACCTGCACAACATCAACAACAATTTTATCAAACTCAATTTCCAGAACAACAACAACAACAACAACAACAGCAACAGTTTTATCAAACTCAGTTTCCTGTACAACAACAACAATTTTATCAAACTCAATTTCCAGAACAACAACAACAACAACAACAATTTTATCAAACTCAGCTTCCAGAACAACAACAACAACAACAACAATTTTATCAAACTCCGTTTCTAGGACAACAACAACAATTGAACCAACAACAGTTCCTAGAACAACAACATTTTCAACAACCGACCCAATTGCCTGAACAACAACGCCAACAACAACCAATCCAACATAATCACCAGCCTGAGCCACAACGACAACAACCACCAATCCAACAGAATCAAATACCTGAGCCACAACAGCAACAACAACCAATTCAACAAAACCACCTACCTGAATCACAACAGCAACAAAATCCTGACTATACAGATACTCGAGGTGAGAATAAAGTAATTTCAATTGAAAAATTTGCACTTTTTTGTTTAGGCTACTACTATCCATATCCGTATCAAAATGTCAATTGGTATAATTTTCCTTATGTATTATCTTCTGTAGCAGGTAGTGGTCAATTTGATTCAACAGCGCCATTTGCTGGTTTTGGTGCTCATCCGACTGGTACTGGTACTGGTACTGGTACTGGTACTGCTAGTGATTGTCCAGTAGGTTTTTGTCCACGTGGTGCTACTTGCTCACAACTTTCAGGTCAATGGCAATGTGGATGCGGTACAAATGGTTGTGTTGGAAGTAAGTTACTTGTTTGTTTGCTATAGTTAAAACTATAATCTTAATTATTTTATTGAGATATTAATCTGTTTTTTTTTCATTATCAACAGTAATAAGTGATAATGATACTCCTAAAGATTTATTCAGATCAGTTATATCTTTAAGTAAAGAATTAGGTAGTATTTGAAAAATAATTTCACAATAAACTAATAAAAAAGGTTTCTGAAGGTGGAGAAGAAATTATATTGAATTGAACGGATAAAGATAAATTTAGAATTGAAATGAAATGAAATTTTTTTGTATTTCCTTGTTTGTTTCAAGTTTTCGAGAGTTTTTATCGTGTGATACTTCGTGAAGATGTTGATATTACACCATAATTCGTATTAAAGAATTGATCGATTGCGAAAATTGATGAATAATTCAATACAACAGATTTAGTCGTTTCATAATTTAATTCATCAGAATCGAACATTATCTTTTTATGTATTTGTTTCAATCCATGTAAAAAGAACCTGAATTAGTTTTTTTACCTCTCACAGTGGTTCTAGAAGAGCGACTACTAATATATCCCATGGTGGTGTGCTAAAAAAAGAAGATCGAACAACATATTAAGCTTTTAATTATGTTTTTTTTTGACTGCAATATTGAGTGGGCAAAACCAACATCAATCCTATGTTATTGTAATAATAGAATAAACAGTAGAAATGAACCGATAAAAATTCATGTCAGAAGAATTTATGTTTTTGTGACACATCATATTAAATAAACATCTATTTTGCTTTGAGCTATTTTATAACCTATGAGGACATCTAATTCATGATATATACTATTTCAACTTCTCATGAATTAAGGTAATAATACGTGTATTAACTTTGTTGCTGATTGTTCTTCAGCTTTCCAGTAATGGCTTCATGATTCATTGCATGCCTTAGGGATGTGTAATTCGTCGAGTTATCATGAATTTTTCGAAACATATCTAACTCACTAGTTAGCTTCTTCATCTATTTATATCGCCCAGAAATTCCGAAAGTTCTCGACTGAATGTAAGTAGAGAACGTTTTCTTTCGAAAAATTGAAATTTTTCCAATTTTTTTTCGAAATTATCGATTTTACAGATCAAATCATATTTCCAAGACGAAGAGATGAAAAAAATTTCTTCTCATTTTCAAACCCCTGTGCTTCATTTATTTTCTGCAATCTTTTCACAAACAGTTACTTCTTTGATCTATAGTGAGATAATGGATTGCTGTTCAGATACAGACAATTTATTTATAATTATTAGAAACCCATCAAAGCAGATCATTTAAAATAGATTGATATAAATAAAAAAAGAAACATTTCTGCTGAAATGTCTCCTCTTAATTTTTTTTTGTGTTTTTGAATATGATTAAAACTTATTTAATTGTTTTATATTAATACGACGTGAATAATGATTTTTATTATAATCTAATAATGATTCCAATTTATTAACGGATACGAAAGACTATGCAATTATTTTCGTAATTTTAGTCCCAAATCCATGTGGTATCTATGGTCGATACTATTTTCCTTATTATCCTGATGCATCAAGATTTATTCAATGTGATCAAACTGGTGTTTTCTGGATTCGTAAATGTGCTCCTGGCACTATTTTCGATCCTAAAATAAGTGTTTGCAATTATCCACCTGTTGTTGTCGAAACTGGCAAAAAATAATCACAGAAGAAAAATCTTACCATAAGAACCCTTCATTGTTTTTCTTTTTTTTATTTTAATTCTTTTTTTTTTTTGAAAATTTGTTCATGAAATAAAACGTAGAGTCATAGGTCTTCATCAAAATAGATTATTTTCTTTCACTCGGATTGATCAACGAATGAAGTAAAATGAAAAAGAGAATTTCATTTAATTATTATATTACTGTGAGAAAACAATGTTCAATTACATTTCTATACAATGGATATATTAAAAAAATGTTTTCAAGTTGAATTTCAATCAAAAATTCATGTGTTTTTTCAATATTTGCTTTAGAATTCTTATTGATGGCCTACTGTTATTTTTTTGCTAATCATATGCCTTTCTTTTTTGTTTTTTTCTTACAAAGAAAACTTATAATATCATATTCAAATGCATCCGTGGCTTTATTTCATTCATTCAATCTTTTTTTTTGTTATATAAAACAAGCCTGGTGGTGTTCATAGTGTTCGTATAGAGGAGTATGACGGCTCAAAAAGTTGTTCCTCATCATCTGTAGCTGATATTCGTTAAGCACAGAAATATTACGAAGAACTAGATAATTATATCATTGATTTTTGATAAACAAAATCAACCTACATCAAATCCTACAACAACATTGGTAAAAAGACCGCCAACACTAGTTGATTCTATTAAAGAACTTAACAAACAACTAAATCGACAATTTCGACTTGATCTTGTAAGTTAGAACTTTGTTAATTCTTTTTTATTTTATTTTATCATTCTCAAAACAAAATTCGATCGGAATATGTGGATTTTTATTTTCAAATGAGCTTGTTCTAGTTTGTTTCAAAGAAAAGAAATAATCAATTCTCTTTTTGAGAAAAGAATTAAAAATATTTTATGAGCTTCATTCATTTGTTTATTTATTGATTGAAAAAAAGCAATCAGTTTTCATCCTTCTTTTCAAGCCGATAGAAGCAAAAATGTATGCAATGTAACACTTCGTATAGAATACATATACTGGCTACTTCTTAATTGCGGACAAAATTTCAGCCCTCACCCACACTGTCGGCATGCTAATTGGTTTGATTTTCGTCCGCAATCAAGAAGACACGACATATACTACTAATTAAACTTAGTGTAGAAAGTCTGAATTCGAATCATTTTACAATGTTCGTCCTATGACATATTGAAAAAAATACGTTGTTTTCCCATGAAAAATTTTGCAGAATTAATTGAATCGTATAAAAAATTTCCCTTCAAAATAAATCTTTAGCAAGAAAATTTTATTATAATCTTTTTCAGATACCACCACTACTATCAAAGTCACCTGTTAAACAAATACGATTACCAGGTTAAATAATATTTGTTGAACGTGCAAAATCGGTGAAATTATCAAAGAAGATAAAAACTAATCATTTTCAAACAGCAATTATTTAGCTATATTCATCATTTAAGTACACTCATTGCTGGATCAAGTTCAACGATACTAAGTAATTCAAAAATAATCAATAATCAAATAAATATTTTTATCTATATTTTCTTTTTTTCTCTTAAGGTTGTTCATCAATAAACAACGATCACTAGAAATAAAATGCGATCAGGTAAAATATTGTCACATACACCTGAACAGCAGCAACAACAAGCAATTCCAATGACTGTTGGACCTTCACAAAAAACACAACCATATTCAATGAAATCACAATATGAACCTCCTACAGTATCCTATAATGAGTCTTTGAAAAACAAGAATGTTTTATCATCACAAGTTAATGATTCACAATTAGTCAATCAAATATTCCCAAATAATTGTATATAATATTCAAATACGAAATAATAAATCGATTCATTTAATTTCTTTTTTATTCTTAAAGCTGTCACAAGTCCATCATCATTAACATCGGCAAATCCATTAATACCATTGTCTTATGCATCACAACAAGAACAACAGCAACGCATAAATAGATATATGGATCAATCGAAAACAAATAAAAAAAATTCAAAACATCAATCTGCAGTTAGTACAGTTAATGAAAAATATAATAATCAATCATATGCGGCCTACAATCAAAATAGTGCTCTTCCTGGTAAGTTTATTAATTTCAAGTTGAATTCATTTCGATGTCCAAAACAAAATTTTATGAATTTTAGAGAGAGCAGCCAAAAATCGACCTAATGGTATTAGAAGTGGTGTACTTCAAAGTGAAATAGATGATGAAGAAACTAAACCACAAGGCAAATGGGTATAGATATTAATCTACGTTGAATTTAAAGAGAAAAATTTATTTTTAAGGCTCAATGGCTTTCTGAACCATTATGTTTAGGATTAACACGTTTAAGTGGTGGACTTTTATTTGGATCTATGATATTTCTTGCTTGTGGATCGATAGGTGGTCTTATTACATCGATTGCTTTATATACTCACGGTTAAAAAAAAGTGTCTTTTCTCTATTTAATAATCAACATTTTACGATTTTCTTTAGATAGTGAAACGAATAGTCAATGGAAAATCTTAGGCATGGTTATTTGTTCTATAATGTTAACTACAATAATTGCAACAGTACTTATATTTATTTGTTTTTATAAACATGGTTATATGGTTAATGCAGATGATGATATTGATCCAATCGATCCATTAGCAACATCAGATTTTAAACAAAATGATCGACAAAAAAATCCTTTCAAAACATATAAATTTATTTCTACAAATGACGCATCATCACTACGATCTGGTATACTTCAAGATGTATCAACACCAGATTCAATACCTAAATTATCTTTTAAAGTTCATGATAAACAAACAAATACAGAAACAACAATTGCTCTATTACGTCTAAAAGATTTTAATCGTGGGGTATGGCCAGCAACAAATGCTTATGGTGGAATGTCAAAACGTTCAATAGATCGACCAAAAATGACTTCTCATTTTGTTCAAGTAGAACCACATGAAATTGAAGAAACACTTCAACCTCCCCAAGTTATTTATCAAATTGTTCCTCCAACATCAGCTATTTCACCTCCACAAGTTCAACAACGAATAATTCATATGCCTAATGAACAAACATCTGTTATTGATGATGTCGAAACAGCAAAAAAACAACCACGAACAACTAGTATGCGAGAAACACAAAAACAAAATATTGTTGTACAACCAAAACCTCGTATTGAACCCATTCATATTGAAGAACAACGAAAACAGCAGATTGATAATATTGAGAGTGGCGATGAACAACAATATTTTTCTGAATATATTGACAGTAGTGATGAACAGCCAACTCGCAGTGAACATGTTGATACTAAGAAAAAACAACCACATCGTATTGAACATGTTAATAGTACTGAAGAACAATCCCATCGTATTGAACATGTTGATAGTAAAGAAAAACGACCACATCATATTGCTCAAAAACCTCAATATGATATCGTTGAAGAAGTTAATGAACGAGCAAGATCATCATCATCAATAGAAGACATTGTTGATGTACCAACAAAACATGAAAAAAAACATGGCAGAAAGAAAGATAAAAAAAAACATGTTGGAAAAGTTTCTGTTAAACATGTGAAACCAAAAACATAAGGACTACGTATTATTGTCGATGATTATCTTTAAAAAAAACATTTTTCTTTTATTCTTAAAAGCATTTGTAGTTATTCTTAATAAATTTTCTATATTTTTTTTTTCTTTATTTTAATAAGACAATTGAATAAGAAATATATGAGTCAAACTCGAAAATAAATCAACATATCTATTAAATTAAAATAGCTAAAAGTTAAAAGAACATAGTCATGAGTAAAAAAACAAGGGTGACCTCTTTTCTTTTTTTCTCGATTAATCGCGAACTTTACACTTGTGTGCATTGCATCATCTATGGCTGATGCAATGTGCACCGTCATAGAGCGACATAAATTCATATGTTTTCAATTGGTCTACTAGATTCCTTTTCTCCCTTTCTCTAATCTTGACTGCTGTACAATAGTAAAATATCACCATAAAATGAACTCTCTCGGAGATACCCGAATGTTAGGAAACATTCTAGAATATTCCAGAATAATGATAAATCGGGAGTATATAAACTCGTTTTTTTTTTTCATTGTTTTTTCATTCATTTACAGTTACTGTTAAAACAAACATTGACTGATGGCTTCAACTCGTATTATCTCACGTCTTCTTGTACCAACTACTCTTTGTCGTCTATCAACAATAGGCAACATGAGCGGTCCAGTACGTCATTTGTTCTATCGAAATCCAAGAAATTTACCTGATGTATTTCGTGGTACGACATCAAGTATCTTTCGAGATTTAGAAAAAGAATTTGAACGTATGCAACAACAATTTGATAATTATTTTCGAGGTGGTAGTGCCAATGATAATCAATCACTAGTCAATTATTCATTTGGTGCAAATGGTAAATATTTTCTTTTTGTTTTGTTTTCTTCGATAAAATAATCATTTTGTTTTTCATTTTTATTTTTTAGAAAATGATATGATTGTTACTGAATCCGATGGTTCTAGAAAATTTCATCTTGCATTTAATATGCGTGGTTTTGAACCTGAAGAAGTGAAAATTAAAACACAAAAGGGTTCATTGATTGTTTCAGCAAAGAAAGAAAAAAAGGTATAAATTAAACTATTTATTTAAATTAATTTTCTTATATTTTATATACTTGTGTTTTAGGCTGGTAATAGTTATTCACTTCATGAATTTAATCAAACTTATACATTACCAGAAGAACTTAAACTTGAAGATTTAAAATCAACATTTGCAGAAAATGGTATTCTTACAATCGAAGCACCATTACCTAAAGTCGAACCAAAAGATCGACAGATTCAAATTGAACATTCAAAATAAACTAACAAGTTTTTTTTTTTTTTTTGTGTCTGCATGTTGATTCTATACCAGCTACTTTAAATAAAGTAAAAAATAAATTCTAAATACCAATCTTTTATTTACAAAGCTGAATATAAAAAAAAGTTTTTTTTTGTCGTTCAATCTAATTTAAAGATTTGAAGTTTATTAGGTTTTTCACATTTTACAACAAGATAATCATTTGCTAATCGACCAGCATTTAATGGTGAACTATCTTTATTTTGTGTTTTTTCTATTTGATTATCTTCATTAATAAATAATAATTGATTTTGTTGACTATCAACAATAAGCCATTGATTGTTTGCTAATGATGTTAGCATAATTGCTGTTTTACTTACATCACGATGATGTACAATACGTGTTGCTAAATTAAAATCAAATACTTCTAAACGTATTGTATCACCTTGAATAAGTAGACCCACATGTGTACCATCAGTACGTATTGATAAAATATTTTGATCTGTTTCTTCGACAATTTTTGCTTTTGTCCAACGATTAACTAATTGTAATGTTGGTTTCCATGTCCATTTTGTAACTGCTGATGCATTTGCATATGAAATAAATGTATGTTCATCATGAGCTGTTATTGATGAAAATTCCATATTATGTTCATCAGATTTATCTTTTTTACTAAATTCTTCAATTAATTTCATTTGAAATGAATCAATATTTAATTCATAAATATATTTACGAGTTAAAACAAGATAAGATTTTTCACAAGATAAATAAGTAAGATCATCAATTGTTAATATACCAGATGAATCATATTCTTTCCATTCAAGTTCTTTAATTTGTTCAAGTTTATCATTAAAAAGAATAAATTTTGTTGTATCATAAATAAGAATATTTTCATCTGATGTTGATAATGCTAATTGATTAGTTGTAAGTTCATGTTCATGTATAGCAGTACGAGATAATTCAGGTGCATTTTTTATTTTACGTACATCTTTCTGAGTGTTTTTCTTAGATTCATCGACAGTTACTTGTTTTGGTTTATTTAAAGTTTCAACACTAACAGTATTTTCATTAGCTTGTTTTGCTGAAGTTTCACGATTTGATGAAGACGCCATTTTAATAATTTTCTTTTTTAAATGAAAGTAAAATTTGATCTATAAAATAGATTTACGAGTAAAATTTTTCTTTCAAGGAATCAGGTCAGTAAGTGCGCTTGACAAAGGAATATATACTATTCATTTTCTCTTTCCTGCAGGACAGAAATAAGTAAGCAAACAATATGACGCATTATTCGCCGTTCTAATTCTCTTACTATTCCTTGAAATGATGTTATTTTTATTAAATAATCGAAAACACGAATCTTATTTTCTGAACTTTCATTGAAACGAAACTGAAATGATTTGTAAGACTGATATTTAATATCATATTCTCAATCGTCTAAATCACAATATATTTATATATATATATATTTTTTTTAAATTAATAAAATATGTGAGCAATCGTTCAACAACAAAAGATTTAAGAATAACCAATATTGAAAAAATGTTTCTTTTTTCATCTTTTTGATTGTTGTTGTTGTTCTTTTGTTTTTTATGGAAAAAGAAAATCAACAACAATAGATGATAATAACTTTCTCTTTGCTCTGGTTTTTTTAGAAACTCATATTTATATATACAGAAAGAAAAAAACTATATTTTGTCTCTTTGGTTTCTTTTTGTTGTTATTGTTCAATCATATCTTCTGTTGATGATGATGGTAGTGGTGTTGAATTGCTATTACTTGAACTACTATTTTCATCAGTAAGATTTGGTGGTGGTGAGGATGATGATGATGGTTTATCTTCTTCCTCTTCTTCTTCTTCTTCTTCAGCTTCATCTTCATCTTGTTCATTATCATTATTATCTTGTTCCATTTCATCATCTAATTGAGTGTTTGTTGTTGAACCAGCTTGACTTTCTTGACTTTCGATTGTCATTGAGTCATTATCATTTACACTATGTGGAATAGCAAAACCATTAGTTATTTGAGAATTTGTAGGTGTTTCAGATAATTCTATTGTTGATGATGATGATGTTAAACCATTTCGAGTTGGTTCGATATAAATTTTGCTAAAAAACAAAATATATATAAATTGAATTGGTTTCACTCTCACTTATATTTTAATTATCAAGCTTATGAAAGATAAATTCGAATATATATTCTATGGATATCATTTTCGAACTACTTTCTATATCAATGTGATTATTAATAAGCATCAATATATTAAGGGTCAATAGCAGAACTTTAGAAACATTAGAAAAAAAAACAAAATCTTGAACAACAACCATGATTCATTACGATTTTTATATGATCTCAAGTAATTTTTCGATAGACCGTAATAAAATAAGCTTATCAACACATGAATATTTGGTGATGATGATCCATATGCTCATGTATTCGTTGGTTTTCAACTGTAATGCTTCAAAGTGTATTGCAAAGTTCAAGTATACAGTACTCTATGTGACGGATCGATGTTTAGTTTATCTGGAAAGATCAAATATATTTTCAGAGTAAATAATTTGATTCCACAGTTGATACAAGGTCAATTCTCTATCCATTTCTTCCCTCTTATACTCTTCAATAGCAGATAGTATGGAAATAAAAGTTATTTTTTACTTGAATTTAATTTTTCTCATCTGACAATGCATTTCAAAAAAAGGTAACGTTTCTTCTTAAAAACAAAAAGACTTGTTTAAAACAATTTTTGTTAAAAACTCAAAGTTTTTCGTCATTATCTTCTATTTACTATAGATTGAGTTCTCATTTTGATATTTATGTGCAAGATTGTGTCTGAGATTTAACCAATGATTATTTGTTGAATGATTTATTGACATAATAATCAATTGAGAAGATGCACATAGTGTTTTTCAGATTGTTTATTTATCTATTTAATGCCAGTTGCTAATCAATCTTCTCTCGAATTGTGAGATACTATGTAAGTATATTTTTTCTCAGATATTTTAATTTTGAATTTAAGAAAACAAAAACAAATTTACAAAGATTAACAAATGATAAGATTACTTTCATTGGTTACTAACAATATAGAAGATCAGTGATTGCATTTTATCCATTAAATATTGAGTAGTAGAGCCTCTATATTTTTTGGATCAAAATAGTCAAGTATCATATAGCCAGTCGTAGGAGAACAGGAGTCAATTTGCGCTTCCGTTATTGATCTTAATTCAGCGATAAAATTCGATTATGATGCATTACTTAACTAATCCTATATCGGAAAAAATATGACGGCAACTGCATGCATCACAATAACAATAAACAAAATCATAAGGCTATGGGTCAATCCTTCTACACTAACGACCGAGTTCTATAAATATACACTACGTACCAAATTTATTCAACAATATTTATTTTCAATCTTTTTGTCTACTGTCATAAGCACTAGAAAGATTCTAAATAGTATTTCGAGCAGACAAAATTGTTTCTGACAGGAATATAAAAAAAAATAAAATTATTATCAGATTCTCAAAGACAATAACTCCAGAAAACTAAGTTGCTATATTTTCAGCATCTAGGATGGATGTAATAAACAGTTCTCTACAAAAATAAGACATTCCCGAGTTTTCTGTAACATTTTTTAGCTGAGATAGAACAAGCGTACGAAAGTTCCTAAAGCCATTTTTTCACTTTCAATTAAATTATTGTATCCCAGTCATAAAAAAAAACATTGGAGAGCGCTCCGAGACGTGTCGTTTGATAGAAAATTGCTTATTCTATTGTTCTATGTATTCTAGATGCTGAAAAACTATCATTATGGTTTTCTGTAACCTTTATCTTTGAAAATCTGATTATTCTTTTTATTTCTCTATATTCTTTTTTGGAACTATTTTTTCTACTCGAATTACTGTTTAGAACCTTTCTCGTGCTTACAACAGTGTAAAAAAAAAGAAATCGAAAATAAACTTTGTTGAAACAGTTTTAGTATCTAGTGTATATTTATTGGACTAAGTAATCTTATTCTAGCATACTCAGCAAACATGCAAAAAGTTGAAAAATAAACAATTATTATTTCTTTACAATGCTGATACGTTATCTTTTGTTTGATATCTATTATAAAGTCACATCTAAATGTCATTGTGAACTTACTTTCCTTCATTGTCAATTGTTGTTACTACTGAAACACATTTAGTTAAACCACGTATAAATTTATCTGTTCGTCGATAATTAGCTCGTGGTGAAAGTATTAATTCACATAAACGTTGAATGGTAAATGGAGCACTAGAAAAATAAAAAAAAAAAAGATAAAAAAATTTCAAAATGACAAAGCAATTCTAGTTTACTTTTCAAATGAATTAATTCTATCAATAATATCACTTTTTAATTCTTCAAATGTTGATCGATCAACATTTGGATGAATATCTAATTTATCCATATTAGATTCTGCATTAAATTCATTGAGAACACTATTTAATTTTTTAAGAAATAATGGTTTTATTTTTTCCCATGGATAACTAGAAAAAAAAATTTAGTAAATCAATGAAAAAAAATTTTGCGAATTAATATTCTACCATGAATAACCGGTTTTAGAAATTTGAACAAGAATTTGTTCTAATTCAGGAGTTAAAATTCGTTCATTTTCTGGTTTTTCAAGAAATTCTAAATGCAAAAAAATAAAGACGAAGAAAAATAATTCTTTTAAGAAAAACCAATCAACAATCAATTAAGAACGAAAACTTACTATCGAGATTATCAATAACTGAATCCGGTGATAAACTTGAAGTAACAACATCTTGTTCGTGCTCTTCTTCAGCTGTCTCCATCATCTGAACAAGTAAAAAAAGGAAAAAAAAAGAAAGAAAGATTAAATTATCTGAATAAATCTATCTTTCATCTTATTCGTTCATAATTCTCCAATAATAAATTAGAACAACTGATTCATATTTTTTTTTGCATTTTATTACACACATACATCATGGTTGAATTATTAGGTAGGCATTGTGAATATCCAGATTGTAATACACTTGATTTTCTACCTGTTTATTGTATTCATTGTTCAAAAACATTTTGTAAACGACATGGATCAGCACCTGATCATTCATGTTTATCTTTACTTCAAACGAATTCAATAAATTCATCAAATTCGCCATCATTGCTTCCATGTGCTTATACCGATGGTTGTAAAAATCAAAAATCTCCAATTAGTTTTACATGTTCATTATGTTTAAAAAATTATTGTGTTGAACATCGTCATGTTGATGATCATAAATGTTCTTATCGTTCACCGTCACCACCAACACATCATTCATCACAGATAAATAAAAATGAAATTAGAACAACTGAGAATTTTTCAAAAGAAAAATTTATTGGAACAAAAAATGAAGCTTTAGCTAATAAAGTAGCAATAATGAAATTAAAACAAACAGCAAAAGGACCAGCAGGTATACCAATGGAAAATCGTCTTCATGTATTTGTACAAATTGATGATGGTGATGGAAATAATAAACGTTATCCATTTTACCTTTCAAAACTTTGGCCATTAGGAAAAGGACTTGATTATTTAATAAAAGAATTAAAATTATTACCAGCTAATCGTATAATTTTATTAGATAGAGAGCAAATTTTACTTGATTTATCTGCAACTATTAATGATTTAAAAGAATTGCATGATGCTGATGTTATTATTTTAAAAAAAATTTAAATACAAACAATTATTTATTATTTTTTGTTATATATTTTTGAATAAATCAGTTTGAAGACTTATTTTAAAGGGTGATTGAAAAGTTTTTAAACAAGATGCTTGTTCACTTTTGAATAGCTACAAAGTATTTCCGACAAGTTAATAACTATGAGTTAGAAATCCAAAGTTTGTGTTCTTTTTGAATATCAGCTTAGAAATTTTGTTTCGGTTTTGGTTCGAGAGTAGCTAAAATAAAAAAGGAACTTGTGGACTGACCATTTTCCCTACTTGAATACATTTCAGAGGAGTAAAAAAACTCAGAATTATGACTAGAATGTGTATATGAACCTAAAAATCTTGTGTCTATTTTTGTTCAAGAGTAGTAAGAGACTTTTTGAAAGGCTTGAAAAATTAATTTTAGTGGTGAGTTAACAAGTTTTTGTTTACCCTATAATTCTCCCATCAAACATATTATAAACTTGTCGAAGTTAGATGTTTTGAGGAGTGACCATCACTGTTTTATCCAGAGTGCAAGCGGTACCTTGTCGATGATCGCAAGTTGGCTTTTCTAAAATTTTTGGTTACTGTGTCATGTACTATATTTGTATGCACCCAAAAATAGATGACCGTCCTTCAGAAAGATAACAGCCGGATCAAATATTGGCGAACGATTCTCGACAAAGTGTGATATTGAAATAATTTGTAGCTTCTATTCAAGTAAGACTACAAGCATTTTTTTCAAGAGCTTCTTTCAACATAGAATATTTTTAGATGAAAAGGTCGTTTTTCAAAAATAAGTATTTAGGAAAGATAAAAAAAAAATTGCCAATGATGCATTTTGTAGGGTGCATTCCATTTCCTAAGCTGATATATACAAAACGATTCCAAGTTTGATTTTCGAATCGCAATAATGAAGATACAAAAATATGCAGAAAAACGTCCCTTCAAATTAATTTTTTATGCTCTTCAAAGATTATTTCACTATTGTCGAATAAAAACTAAGAGAAAATTTCTAAACCCACGTTTGAAAAGAGACCAAAGTGAACAAACATCCTGCTTAAAAACTTTTCCGATTCCTCGTTATTTAGACCTTTGAATTGATATGAATAAACAGTATCTTTTCTTTTTTCTTTCTAAAAAGAACTTAAATATAATCTTTTATTTACAGCTCATTTGGAATTTCTACTTTGGAATGAATACAATTTTGATTATAAGAATCAGATTAAATATTGACTTTTCTTTTATCTCATTGAAAAAAAAATCTGTCATGTTTCTCATAAGAAAACCTTCCATCATGTTCGGTAACTTGATAATTTCTGTCTTTTAAATTATTATTTTGGAAAATTGATTTACCGTATCCAAATCAAAGTTACTTGTTTTGTTTTTATCCTGCTTGTTTTTTTAAAATAATTGAACTGAGTTAAAGTGTTTTAATATAACGTGATTTTCTTTGAGGCATACTTCCTTTTGAAATTTTAAAGTAGCTCAGATAATGATATATTTTTATCGCAAACATAACAAAACGTAGGAGGAACTCTTCAAGGCAGAATATTGAACTAGATAATTTTCTAAGAAGTTAATTAGCAATTGAAAAATTAGTAATATATGATAAAAAGAAGACATACTCTAACAGCTCTTATGTTGAAACATTTTTACATTCTCTTTCTAATTAAGTTAAAGATGATTGAATATAAGCAACAAATGAAACATGTTCAATGGGTCATCCAGATCATATTGAAATTGATATTAAAACAGAAGATCATACATATTTAACTTAACTTGAGTGTCAATAAAAATATAGAATATGCTAAAGAAAAAAGAGTAGCATAAATACTTTTAGATATAACCATTATATTGAAGTTATTATAAAATTAGGAAATCCAAGTACAAAATAAACACAAAGTAGTTATCTAAACTTTCAACCATCAACAACAATTTGTGAACATTGAGAATCATCGTGATATCTTCTCATTAATTATGATGCAATACTGTTTTTAAGATACCCATAAGTATGATATGTTAATGAATCACTATTCAGTTCACAGTCAACTATATTTTCTATGATTAAAAATAATTTTTCTTTCAATATAAACAGATTAATCAAATAAAAGGATTCGATCTATTAATGGTTTAAAATGACTGCTTCGTTTTTCTTCGTTAACAGAAATGATTTCATGTTCTATTTTTGTTTCATCAAAGTTTGTTGTGCTTAACAAAATAACCAAAAAAATGTTTGATCCTGAAAAAAAAGAATTGGCTTAATAATGAGTGCACAATTATTTCTCACACGAAAAATTAAAGTAATATTAGCAGTAAAAGTTCTACTAGTTCCTAATAGCTCATAAAATGTATGAACTAGCGCATCGATTCTTTTTAACTTTATTCACAATCACAATTCTATATCATGAAATATCATAGCTATAAATATTCTAAAACCGAATAGGGAAACTTATAAAATAGTTCAAGTTGCCCAATGTTTTGTTAATGCACTGATAGAAATTGAACCAATACATAGTGATGCTTAATTTTAAACATGGTAGGAATACAACTTTTTGGCTATGTGCAATATTACACTTAGTTTTTCTTTTAAAGAAAATAATGACCATATTTTACAGAGATTAATTATTTTGATCATCATTCTTTGAAAATTAAAGTTAGAAAAAAACAAAAAGAATATTTTCAGTTTACAATTCCTTTCCATCTTCTTTTCTGTGAATTCGATTTCAATCAACTAGAAACCATATGTATCATCCAAGCTATAATGATCTATCAATTTTTCATACAAAAATTTTTATACCTGAAATATGTTTCTAGCATGATAATCTCATTATTACATAGCTAAACGATATTCATGTAAACTGATAGAAGAAACATTCATCTTGTGAATAACAACAACTTGCCAAGGGTTATGTTAAGCATTGCTCTGTAAAAAAAAAGCTTGACAATGCTGTTGATCGTCCTCGTTATTGCTTTATATTATAAACGAAATTACAATCATAAACGATTCATGATTGCAAACCATTTCCTGACAAAAATACTGATATATTAAGTAGATATGATCCCACATCGGATATGTTTTGCCAAATAAGAAACGATATTAACGACTAAATTAGTCAGATAATCATCACAAGCGGTGATCTTTATGTAAAATCGAAATCGATATCGTCGATGACATAAATACTTGTTGAGTTTTATGTAGTTGTTCAACTGTCCTTCAGCAAAACGTGTTCTAAATATATAGAAAAAGAAATACTCTTACAAACTTAACCTATTATTTTGTTAAATAAGTAAAATATGTCGAACGATACAATCAGTTAAGAATACCAGATGACATATTAAATATCTCTTCGGCTTTCTGTTCTATCGTTCTAATTTTTCTTCTCCTCATGTCGGAGAGGTCAGGTGAACTGTATCTATCCTGCCTTGACGTAGAGGAGGAAAATACTGATATGTAGGTTTGAACCACTTCACTATCGACTTAAACCGCATACAAACCATTCGACTGTTTTTGACACACTTGTTCGACTTTTTTAAAAACTGTATACAAAGGGATGTATTCGAGTGAAGTCTTTTGATATGAGATTTTTCATTATGACATGCTGTTCCAAGTATTACTATTCATAAGACAAGTAAAGTGCTTATTGCCCCTTTTTCATGTTGAGAGTGTTATTATTTTTGACTATCAGTAAAATTTAATTTATGATCACAATAATAATTACAATCATTTTTATTAACTTGGATGTTGTCTTCCAAACATTTCAAAAATTTTACAAGAGCATAGGGTACACAGAAGCAAAAAAAATATTTCAACACTAATTGTCATTACTTTCTATTCCACATTAGATGTGGACATGAGTGTGAATGAACAGAAAATCAATGTTCATTGACTCGAGATAGTCACATTCCACATCTAACAATTTTGAAAAACAGACCTTCAGCTCTGAATTAAACACATCAGATTAAAAATCAGTAACAAACAAGTGCATATGACAGTATGTTCAATATTTAAAAGAAATTTCCAACATCACATCTTCTAGTGTTTTTTCGAATACCTGATCAGTAGTTTTTCTTGGGTTGAAATCTTTCGAAAATATGCCATGAGTTGTTAGCATGCTACTCGACGTAGTTCTTTTCCTGCAGATTTCGAATATAATGTGCGCATTCGAGTTGGAAATGCATCAAAAGCTATTCGAACAAAGTTTTGTCTTTTTTATAAAACGAAAGATGTATACATAATTATTCAATTCTGTTTTTTAGAAAATCGAGTTAGCAAAAACTCAAACGTTTTCAAATAATTAATAATCATCGAATGAATTTATAATTAACAGAAACTGCTTGATTGTTTGAAATTAAATTTTCAATCTAATTTTCTGCAAAACATTATTTTCGGACTTATTGAAAATTAATAACAATTTTTTGAAACTGTTTGAAAATTGATTCCCATTTTATAGAAAATCAATCTAGATTCTACAACAAGGAAAAAATCAACATTACTTTTTGGAAAGTCATTTGAATAATAACGACAATAAAGTTATTGTTGAGTCGAATATCTACAAGTCTGTTAACGGTGTCAAGAACTTTTATTCTTAGGTAACTGCATCGGATATGTTACTCACATAGGATACAGCTAGGACACACTAATTCATCGTATAATAATGAAAACAAGCAATACATTATTTTTCAATGGTCACCAGAAAGAGTCAATATCGTTTTTTTCTTCTGAAATTATTTCTTCTATTTTTTATTTTTTTTTGGTTTAGAGCACACACTGTTCTTTATCTATCATCCTTGCATTCATGAATGATTGTTCGCATTGAGACATTTTTTGATTGCACTTTCACTACAATCTCTGCATATTTAATTAAGTACATAAGAGCAATCATCAGTAGCTATGATACTAATTGACTATAAAACCGTATTCTCCTTTCAATATATGCATACGAAAATCTTTATATAATAAATATGTTTTCTTTTTGATGTTATGAAAGTATGATATATCTAGTAACATTTAATTTTTTCAA